ACGAACAAACCGTAAACAATTTACTAAACTCAAATCGAAGCTCTGTATCTCAAATCGTCCTCCAGGTCCACATCGGCCTAACCTGGATGCTCGCCTGTGTGTAATCGAACACATCAAGGGAGACTAATGCCGAGGCAACTCTTAGATTTTGCATCTTTGCCTCTGACTTATGAATTCTCATGGCAGTTTTAATTTTTCGGTTTTAAACTCAATTTCCATACTGGAGCGCACTCGCCACCAACTGGACAGGGGAGGGAATTACAGTTACACGTTAGAATACATCACCCTCAGCGTAACCTGTCAAAGTGACGGACAGCTTTCAGATTTTCCCATCCCTGCTAAAATAAATAGTCAACGTCGGAAAATATCCGGTTAACGCGACATCTGCTTCTGTCCTTTCCTGCTGTTCCCCAGCCTGAATCCCAGCTGTTATTAGCAGGTATTAGGTCACAAATTGCAACCTCCAGGCTGATTAGTTTAATTGTGTTTAAAGCTCAAGCTCAATTCCTTCCAGATTTCTCCATCCTCGGCTTTCTAATTCTGTACACTCCCTAGTGAAAATTGACGTGTCAACATAAATGTGAAGAGCACTTCGATGTAACCTGGAGGCGATTCATATGGAGTACAAATGAGAAGTGCAATACGTCTCAAACTCGTTTTCTGTAAAAGTGTCCTACTTCTGATCAAATTAGAGCAAGTACAACTTGCGTTTCACAAAGTGAGGCATAACAGTGAGTCATTTACTCACTGCCCTAAAGCGGTTGGGAGCAAATCATATTTTGAACCAAGAACAAACACTTTGTACATGACAAAAAGAATGAGTCACACAGCAATAGAGTCGCAGACGTTGCAAGCTTGCTCTGCGCAAAAAGTCATCTTTGTGACCTTCCTGCCTGATCCAACACGTTCAGGAGAGAGAACGTATGAATGAAACAAAAGAGCTCTCGCTGAGTCACATTTACAAGATACATTCACACCTAGCGAGGAAAGAAAGGAAGAACGTGTCGACACCGCTGCTGAAGTATGTTACTTTAAAAAGTAACATGCCACAATATTGCATTACTTTTTATTGCAACGTCATGTAATTTTTCCTCTACTTTTTACTTTTTATATCCCCATCTCACATTCACAAGAAACGTAAAGAATCACAAATCCGAATGTTACATTTCTGACAAAAAGTTGCAAAAACTTTTGTTTGTTTTAAAGGTCCATTGAGCATCATTTCATGTTAAAAATACCTGTTTTTCTAACCCATTTAAACAGTTCAACATGGAGATAGACATGTTGTAAAAGTAATGTTACTTATTTGAAAAAGTAACTGATATTGTGGCAATTTAAGTGAATTAGTGGAAAAATCGAATTATATAACGTTACTTCTTTTAAAGAAAATAAACTGATAGTGTGTAAATTATATGAAAAATCGGATTACATAGCGTTACTTCTTTTAAAGAAAATAAACTGATATTGTGTACATTTAATGAGCAATGAATAACTTCAAAAATCATATTGCATAAAATGCTACTTTGGGAGAAAAAAGTAATTTGTGCAAATTTAATAAGCAATAAAAAAAATATTTTTAAAAAGTAATTGATGGTGTTAAAGTTTAAAGAATAATCTATTGGTGTGTGAAATCTAATTTAATTAAATGTTATTTGATATTGTGTACATTTAATAAGCAATGTATACTTTTGGGAGAAGAAAAAATCTAAATACATGACACATTACAAGAAATTTTTACTTATACGGTGCACATTTAATGAGCGATGTATTTCTTGTCTGTTTGAAATCTGATTGTCAAAAAATCTGATTACATACAGTATGTTTTTAAAAACTGTGTTAGATTCGGATTAAAAAGCAATACTCAGATGAAAAAGATCTGATCACACAACGTCTAACGTTACCCCCCAAAACACTGGTCACCACTATTAGAAAATCATGACATACATACAGACGAGGAACCATCTTTGCACCATTCATGGCAGACTTCACTGTCCTAAAACAACATCACACTTCCTGCAGCTGCCAACAGCCAAGGTTCCAGATGTCGGACGGTTAGGTGAGACGTGAGAAAACAGACTCTGGCCTGTCCTGAGAGGGGCGGTATGGAGGGAAAGAGAGCGTCAAACAGTTCTGGTTAAGGCCTGGGCCACCCTCCTTCTCCGTATCCCCACTGCAGGAATGCACTCTGCCAGCCAGAGCAAACTGAGGTTTATCTACAGCGGGAGGACTGGAATCGACTCGCAAACGAGCCTTACCGCAAACTCAATCATCAGAACTAAACAAAGAACATTTCACAGCTTGACGTTCAGACCATCAGATCCTCTTTCCCGAAGTTCCACCGCCTGCATCATCCTGCTGCTTTCCCAGGTTAACAGCTCGCATGGGAAATATAACCATGAAAGAACGTCAAAGAGGTTGTGCCACTCACGGATAATGAAAACAATGAACTGTGGGGGAACACTGGATCACATCAAACCAAACAGTGGGTTGCAACAGTGAAATCAGCGGCCAATATTGACACTCGCAGAGAGCCAAATGTGACCGGTAACTTGTCAACATCGAAATTATGAGAATGATTATAAGAAGCTCAGATTATTTGCAAAAAAAAAAGTCAGTCCTTGTGTCATTTGTTTGTCTAGGATGATCACACATGGTGAAAGAACATAAAAAAAAAATATTGAAATATTCATTTACACAAAACAAAAATCAAAATAAAAAGCAATTGTCTATGAAGGGTGCAGTTTCATGGCACCAAGGCAATAATGATAAAAAAAATTATATAGAGAGTGTGTTAAGGCATCATTTATCATTTTTGTTTATTTGAAGCAAGACAATAATAAACTTCTAAAAAGCTATATATAAATTTTTTAACTTAAATTAAAATGAATGCAGAAAAAAATGAAAAAATGAAAAAGATAATTAAAATAACAATAATAATAAAAAAATAAAAATAAATAAAATAATAATAATAAAAAAATTACAAATAATTAAAATAAAATAAAATAAAATAAAATAAAATAAAATAAAATAAAATAAAATAAAATAAAATAAAATAAAAATGCCTGTAAAGAATACTTGGAACCTGCACATCGTTTCAGTTCACCTGTTTGGCAGGTGGGGCGAAAAGTTAACTTCGGACTCGGACTGAGTGTAGTGAACATCAATTGTCATCTTAATGCAGACACAGAGGTCATAAAGGTTTCTGTCCAGTTGGACACTTTGCTTTAAGTAGCAGAAGATGCATTCACCTTCCATCCGCAGTTACGACAGTAATGCACCCGTAACACCTCCCTCCCGTCTCACTGGCCTACACTGTAATTACGCAGGTCTCACCGGGGCTCTGTGTGTGCTAAAGGCCCAGGGCAGGTTGTGCTGCGGCTCCCTGACAGGCCCATTTCCAGTGTGATTAATGAGCACAGAGGCCTTACGCTACCTAAACCAGCCCAAAGTGAGTCTGCATAGGAATTGCCCTTGAGTGCTCTCCCGCAGCAGAGAGGGAGAGGGTACAAGTTCTTTAACACACACCGCCTGGAGCCCTGATAGTGAAGACAGCGCTGCTGAAGCAGGGGGGCACAGGACCAATGCCAGCCCACAGACACTGGAGCCCTTCTTAATACACAGCAGATGCCACAGAGAATGTCTACGCCTAAAACCTCCGCCTTTTCTCAGAAGCAGAAAACTTTCCAGAATGTTCTGCAAGGTGAGAAGGGCAAGAGTCTTCAGTGTTATCTGGACAGAGCTGTGCGTGAAGGTGGATCTAAAAAAAAAATTGTAAAAATCACGCCCTGGTCATGTTTCGAAAGTAAAATAAAATAAAATAGTACCATTCATTTATTCATAAAAAAAGTATTTTATTTTTAAAAAATGTATTTTTTTTTTTAATTCAGCACATTTCTCTTCCGAATTCTCATTAATAACTTTTTTTTTAAATTGTAATTAAATATTCAATTTGGTAAATGTTGAAATTCATTACTAAAGTACAAATAAACTACAGTATTATTTGTTGTACTAAATTTGCTAATTCTATTATAATTTAATTGTCATAATAATAAAATGCATCAATAAATTGTGAATACAGTTACATGCAAAAGATCTTAATGGTCATAAAATAGGTACACTGTAAAAAAAATATTGTTGGTTTAACTTAAAAAAATGAAGTAACCTGGTTGCCTTCAAATTTTAAGTTCATTGAAATGGAAAAGTGAGTTAATACAATGAAGGAGGTTGATTTAATCATCAGAAACTCAAAATATTATGTTATCTGAACTAAATAAATTAAGTTGATTTGACAAAAGAAAAAACGTGATTACAATTTTTTTTTTTTTTACAGTTGCAAAACACATTTTTAACTTATTTATTTTTACTTTATTGCTTTGAATTTTGGAGCAAAACAGATATTTCACCCGTTTTAAGTTTTTAACTACAACTGTAAACATTTTTGTTAATTGAAATAAAGGTGACACAAAATAAAATAAATATTAGACGAAAAACCTAAACTTATTTCAGTTGGTTGCCAAGCAACATTTCTAATTTTAAATTGCAGCACTATATTTATAAACTGGAAATAATAATAATAATAATAATAAAACTAATTCTAAATTTTTTTAAAATATAGTAATAGTAATATTTAAAAAAAAAAAACTAATACAAAATTTAAAAAGCACAATAAAAAAAGCTAATTCAAACTATGAACATGACTATAAATAATTCTAAAATAACACTGCTCAGAAAGGTTTGACTATATTGTTTGCTAAGTAATTTCAGGTTGAACGTCACAATCTTGTACAGTTGTGTGTGGGTGTGAGAAAAAGGCTTCTGCATCTGCAGGAGGAGAAAAAAAAGGGTTTCCACAAGCGTCAATGGAAGCAAAGGTCACAGAGGTTTTTCCACGTGTTCTGGAACCAGTTCTAAACAAGTAAACCCCAACTGGCCTGAGCAACCCTAGTGAAAGTCTGACAGGCCAGGACACATCAGGAAAAAGGAGGCTAGTTTAACAGTACCTGTCTTGCGGAGCGGGAAGTCATCTTTGGGGTCGTACATTCCCAGCAACTGGTGGTTGTAAGTGGAAATCCCTGTCTGAGGTGGTGAGCTCTGGTCCAGGGAGCTGTGCTGGGTTTTCCTGTGGAACAAATCACAAACACTCATGAGAGCAAGCATAGGTGCTCAAATATGTGCATTTCAAGACATTTCCACACACAGCTGCTCCCCATTCCCAGCACTAGGACGGTTTCTGCCAAGTAATGGGAATGCAAACTCAGATCACCCATGATGCCTCAGTGCAGCCTAAGAGAGGGGGGCGTTATTCTGTTAATAAATGAACATGCTGACAATGATGATGTCTTTATTTCCTTTCTGGACAAGGACAGTAGGCTATACCGTACATACATTAAAACTCTCGTATTAAATCTAAAATACTTTAAACTGTGTTTCGAAGATGAACAGAGGTCTTACGGGCTTGGAACGACATGAGGGTGAGTCATTAACGACATTTTCATTTTTGGGTGCAAGTACGACACGCATTCAGACTTCAAAACATCAGTGGCAGCCTATCAAAAAGCTCTGCAAAAATAAAGAGATTAGCTCCTTAACAGGAAAAACAACTGCACTGGGGCATAAGGTCAGCTGGCATCACCACAAACCCAATCATTTAATCTGCCTATCGTCAGCTCATCTCAAACAGACCAGGAGCGCCAATCATCTGCTTTAATAGTCCACAGAGGCAACAGAAATACCTCACTTCTGATCAAAATCCTCGTGCAAATGTCGTAATCAGAATGGTGGATGTCTGAAATGAAGAAGCTATTGGCTCAAACATACAGCAACATTAAAAACTTTGGGGTGAGTAGGACATATTTACTTATGTATGAAAGAAATAAATCAATGTGTTTATTCAGTAAGGATGCATGGAATTGATAAAACATTTATGATGTTACAAAAGACTTCAGTTTTAAATAAATGATGTTCTTTTAAACGCTCTATTCACCAAAGGATCCTGGAAAAATGCATCACGGTTTCTCTCAAAAAAAAAAAAAAAAAAAAAAATTAACGAATTTCTGAAGGATCATGTGACACTGAAGGCTGGAGTAATGATGCTGAAAATTCAGCTTTGCTTCACAGGAATAAATTACATAGTAAATTACAACAGTTTTTAATTTTTTTTTTTTTTTTTACAATAAATAAACAAATAAAATAAACAGTGAGTATGATATTTTTTTACAGACTCCAAACTTTAACAAACGTACAGAAGTATGTGATTGCAAAAGCCTGGAACATTTCTTTCAAAAGGAACATTCTCTTCCTATTTTCCCAGCCTCACAGAAGAGGAGCGTGAAAGCTGGGCTTGATGGAGTTTTCACTCTCAAATTCACATCCACACACTGATACACTGCCTCCTCTTCACCGTTATGAGAAGTGCCCCAATCAAAACTTGTTCAAATTGTTCAAGAATGCAGAGATGACAGCCAGCTATATCTTTTGTGTGTTGAGAAGCTGTCAATCAATAAAAAACAGAAACTTATAGAACGTGCTTTTATTTTGGAATACTGCTGCAAGCAAAAACTAGTTTCAAGTTTGGCGTCAATTTCATGTAGAATGTGGATCTTTAGCTGTTTTGATCTGCCATTAAAGGGATACTTCACCTCTGGAAAGATGAATGTTTATTTAAAATGGGTCATTTACGTAGTAGAAATGTGAAATTATTTTTGAATTTGGAGCTTTCTAGACTGAGAAAAGCCAGGAAATGTATTTTTGGCTTATGTGGATGAAAGACAACAACTCCCAGAATGCACTTGCATCACTGCCATAGGAGGCCACGCCTACCGGTAACAGAGCGCAGTAGTTAAACAACAAGTCTAGGCTATTGATGAGTCTGCCCGAAAATATGTTTCGACATCGCCCAAAATGTCCGTTATTCGGCTTTTGCGTTTTACAGTCGCCATTCATCATGTTTACAGTGGCGAGCGGGACAAGTGAGGCCGGTGGTGTGATTACCGATGAGCGACACTTGTGAGACGCAGCGGTATCGTATCTCTCACGAAGGAGCGGGAATTTTCTTAGCAATGTTAAAGCGCACATCAACCGATCACTTGTTTAGCGTTCATGTAAACACTACATTCACATTCACCAATCAGAATCAATTCAGTTAGATTGAAACAAAAGCTATGCATGTAAACAATGAATGGCGACTGCAGAAAGCAAAAACAATTTTGCATTGAAGATCCTATTATAGTCCTTTGAATGAAAATCACTATCAGCAGTTCACAACTTCACACTTACAAAAAATATCGGAATCGGCCAAGAAAATTGCAATCGGCGCATCTTTAGTTAAAAACATCATATTCCCAGTGTAAACCCAATCTCTCCTGATGCATCTCAAACATATTGGAGCTTGACTCAAATAGCAATTAATGAAATGTTTGTAAAATTCATATATATATATATATATATATATATATATATAAAAATGAATATATATATTTTTTTTTACATTACTGCCTTCACCTTTTAATTGTATGCTACTTATTTCACTTTTTATCCATTTTTGATAGGTGAAGCACTTGTGTAATAATTTTGTGTTATTTTTATTAATAATATTTTTTGCACTTTCCAAACATGCACTCATACTGATGAGGTTTGTGATACATGTAGCAGCAAAAACAAAAAAAGATGCTCTCCCTGACACATTTGAGTTGCATGTTAGCACTTAAGTGTAAACTGCAAACAAATCTGTCTCAGTTGAGCACTCTGTTAAAGTAAGAAATAAAAGGGACCCGTAAAATGTCCTTTTTCTGAGCGGGTTGTGATACTCACCCGTACCAGTAGCGCGGGTCACTGGACAGGCAGTGGTTGAGGCTCCTCTGGGCCAGCGCTTTCTTCTTGTTGAGGACAAACTCCTGCAACCTCATCTTCACCTCAGTGCTCGCCACAGCGCCTGTCAATCAGACCTCACAGTTCAGGATGATCACGAGCAGCGGGACATCAATGGCATTCTCAAAGCCTCTAGCTGTGTTAACCAGCTACATTTCTCTAAAAGCCTCGGGAAGGGGTTTTATGCATTTGTGACTGACTGTCAATTTCTTCACCATTTCTAGACCCTGTAATTTGCAGCGCTGTAATTTCGTCTTCTAAATGGTCTCAACAAAAACTCTTAATAGTCTCTTCGGCATGAGACCGAGAAGATGGAACAGTGCCCCGATTGATCAAGACTACAAAGGCTGACACTTGTTTTCTGGTGTCGATAAACAGCTATTCCACTGCAGCCCGACTCGATTCAGATATCTCTTTACATATGAGAGAAACGGCCCCTTTATCCTGTCTTAGATAGAGAGCAGACTCTCTATTCCAATTCCACAGAGACCGCAACGGTTAAACAAAGATGTCTTTTTTCTCACTATTGTTCTCACTCTGAAAGAAACACATCAGATGGATGCATTCTCACAGCTTTTCCTTCAATTACCACCTTTCCCATTGTCTGTAAACACGTCCCCAGAGGCCGTCGCTGGTGTACGTACACATCTGCGTCGCCAGACAACACGCGCTACTCGCGGGCTACAGGTGACCGGCGTGTCAACAACAACAGAGATGGATAAAAATAGACTGGCTGTACTGCCAGGAACATTCGAGATAAGAATATACTAGAAAATAAACAACTAGTGAAGGAATTACTGTTACTTTCTTATACCTGAAACTAAACCTAATGTGCTTGAGAGGTATGCTGGTTCCACTTTATATTAAAGGGATAGTTCACTTTGAAATTAATTTTTGATATGTTTTAGTTTACCTCAAGGGCATCCAAGATGTAGGCGTCTTTGTTTCCGCAGTCGTTTCAATTTCAATATTTTTAGGTCAAACCGTTCTTGTCACCACCTCAAAGAGCATGCACAGAGAAGTCCAAATTAAACATGATGTAATGACTCGTAAATGTAAGTACACATTGATGGCCTAAGACACGAAACGAGCGGTTTCTGTGAGAAAACGAACAGTATTTATATCGTTTTGACCTCTCAAGCGCCGGAAGTGATTTCTTACGCGGTTGCTAAAAAATATCAACGTTGTCTGTTGATATGTCGAAACCGTCTTCTATTGTGATTTCCTGTATATCTAAATATGTTTAAATCTTCACAGTGAAGGATAACACTTCAGAAATCTCTGTGTAAACAATGAGTGACATACACGCGCGAGAGATCACTTCCAGCGCTTTCTAGACCGTGCCCTCAGATCACTTGGACGTGGCTGTGGTAAAAACGATATAAATACCGTTCGTTTTCACACACAAACCGCTCGTTTCGTGTCTTAGGCCATCAATGTGTACTTACATTTACGAGTCATTAAATCATGATTAATTTGGTCTTCTCTGTGCATGCTCTGAGCAGGATTTCTTTTATATCTACAGTATCTTACATGCATCTATTAGCAGTAGCAAGTCCATATTTGCTCTGCAGAAGAACAAAACCGTTATTCAAACTGGGAATAAATTATATACAGAAAGCAAAACATTTTATTTTATATCTGCTGTTTTGCTACATTATTGAAAATCGTTTTAGAAAGAAAACAGGAAATTATGGTCAGACGGAGAGCATGTGAGCTAGACTCGAAGTGGTGCAACACTTGATCTAATTGCTAGTCAGTGGCTTTGACAACATTATGAGCTTTTTGACTACTTCAGTATGAAACCTTTTCAATTTTGATTATGAACGGAGAGTATAAGCTAA